TTAGGAAGGCCTTCGACACTGTCTCTCACCCCATTCTCATTAAAAAACTGTGGCGTCGACACCTACACAGTCAATTGGGTCACTAACTGGCTGGAGGGCTGCACCCAGAGAGTGGTGGTGGATGGGTCTTATTCGACCTTGAGGGATGTGGGCAGTGGGGTTCCTCCGGCCTCAGTCCTCGGACCCGCACTGTTCAACATCTTCATCAGCAACTTGGATGAGGGGGTAAAAAGCATGCTGTTCAAATTTGCAAACAACACTAAGATATGGGGGGATGTGAGCACACTAGAAGGGAAGAATAGGCTGCAATCGGACTTAGACAGGTTACAGGGGTGGGCGGATGAGAACAGGATGGGTTTCAACACTGACAAGTGCAAGCTACTGCACCTGGGGGGGAAGAACCAGCAGCATACCTACAGGCTGGGGAACTCCCTTCTCGTCAGTGCAGAGGCAGAAAAGGATCTTGGAGTCATTATTGATGCCAAAACGAACATGGGCCGACAGTGTGGGGATGCGGTCAGGAAGGTGAACCGTACTTTGTCATGCATCCACATATGCGTCTCAAGCAGGTCCAAGGAGGTGATCTTCCCCCTCTATGCAACACTGGTCAGGCCACAGTTGAAGTACTGCATCCAGTTCTGGGCACTGCACTTCAGGAGGCATGTGGACAACATGTAGAGGGTCCAGAGGAGGGCCACTCGCATGATCAGGGCGCAGCAAGGCAGGCCCTATGAGGAGAGGCTACGGGACCTGAACCTGTTCAGCATCCACAAGCGAAGGCTGAGGGGGATCTAGTGGCCTGTTACAAACTAGTCAGGGGGGGACCAGCAGGCACTGGAAGAGTCCCTGTTCCCCCAAGACCTACCAGGAGTGACTAGAAATAACGGTCACAAGCTGGCAGAGGGTAGATTCAGACTAGACATCAGGAGGCGCTACTTCACAGTCAGGGTGACTAGGATCTGGAACCAACTTCCAAGCGAAGTGGTGCTGGCTCTTACTCTGGGGGTCTTTAAGAGGAGGTTAGATGAACACCTTGCCGGGTCG